TGTGCTAATCTTTTTTCTTAGCCAAGTTTTTGTCCCAATGGGTTTTCTTAGCCAAAGGTTTTAACAAGGTATTTTGTGGTTTTTAAAGAATGAGAAAGATACATAACATTTGGAAGACTATTATCCTCTAGAAGAGTGATTTTAATATTAGATCAAGATGGTAGTACCCTGAAGGTCTTAATTGGTCCTTGTGAGGTCCAACAATTGATTGGTCCGGAAGATCAAATGCAACTGTAATCTTTTTCTTTAACCAAGTTTTGTCACATAGGATTTTCTTGGTCAAAGGTTTTTAACGAGACAGTTTGTGATTCTCAAATAACATATTATGATACATAAGATTTGAAGTACTATTTTCTTTAAAAGAGTGAATTCAAATGGAGTCCAGAAGATTAGGCCCCAAAGTCCAATGATTGTACTCTTTTCCTTTACTAAGTTTTTCCCACGCGGTTTTCCTAGTTAAAGTTTTTTAATGAGACAGTCAATACAATACATTATTTAACATATATTATGTACTCTTTTCCTTGATTGGTTTTTTCCCGAAGGGCTTTTCCAACAAGGTTTTTAACGATGCATACACATTGTATAATCTTTCATTTGAGAAGCTAGTAACCAGATTGGATCGAATTGGATTCAACAAGAAGTCCTGAATCAATGCACTCAACAGGGGGAGTATGCACGCGTTGCATTCTTTTTCCCTTGACCAAAATTTTGTCCCATTGGGTTTTCCTCGACAAGGTTTTTAACATGCAACATACCATTGTGTATAAAGAGATTAAAGCATATTTTTCTTGTAGTTTTTAATTATGTTACGCCTCATTTGTTATTTATTTATTTTGTCATGTACATATTTTTTGGTTGTAACATTTTATGTATGTACGTAGTGGTAGTATTAGACTAGAAAAATTCTTGTTTTACTTTCTTTCCTTATTCCACGCATGGAAAGTACGTATCTCATGTGAACGTTACTTCTGTATATATGTACGCCGAGATCAGTTCCTCCATAAGAGAGAATATAAAGAAAAATTCCATAAAGCTCTTTCCAATTTTACATGGTATAAGAGCAGTGATTCCATGTAAAGCGTACATGACCTCTGGACTGATTTGGAGGCATGTTTCTCCGTAGGTGATGCAATGAGAAAGTATGAATTGAAGGAGCTCCTCCAAAATTGCAAGCAGCATGGACAACCCGTGACTGCCTATTTCGGGCAACTTAAATCCCTCTGGGAGGAGTACGATGGAGTGCGTAATTTTCCTCAATGCAAGTGCAACAGGTGTACGTGCGAACTCAAGAAATCTTTTCTCAAATACGGGGAATCCGAAAAAATTAATGATTTCTTGATGGGTTTGGACCATGAAACTTACACGAATTTGCGGCATAATATTCTAAGCGCGGATGACCTGCCCACTTTGACAAAAGTTTATCACATGGTGACACAAGAAGAACGTCACCAAAACTTGACGCGCGGACGAGAGGACGAACGTGAGGCAATGGCACTCGCTGCACGTGTCGGACCAGTTGGGGCGAAGGATGACCGAACCAAGTGCACGTACTGCCATAACCCGGGCCATGAGTATGAAAACTGTTTCCGACGGAAAGGAGTGTAGCCAGACTGGTGGCACGAAAATCCTGAACGTGCTACTCTTTACAGATTGAATCAACTTCCTTCTCACACCATCGGAAGGTTACGCAGGCAGGGCCCACTCGTGAACTTCAAGTTTTTCAGAGATTGGAGAGAAAGATGTGACGTCAACGATAGAAGGCAAGCATCCAAATAAACAGATTGCTAGGATCAAGAAGAGAATAGATGCATCGAGTGGGGAAGAAAGCAGAACTCACCGGGGTACATATGTGATGGAGATCCCATCGTAATATCAAAATATGGAACCCTATTATCCCAACCCACCCCATAGATAGGGGCCCTCTTTTCGAGTCGAAGGACCGTGGGCTTCAAACTGAGGAGGATCCAGTCGTGGAGGGTCCAGACGGAATGCGGGAAGAGGTATAGTGCAAGCCATCCATGCGGCGGGATATCAACCGGAGGATCATGTGACACACGGAACGAAGGATGTAACGCTACACAAACCGGGGTTCGCCGATGAACAGTGGCAAACATTCATCAAGTTGTGGAAACTTGTAAGGCCACGACGTCGGAGGATAAACTCTCAGGTATGCCGTCTCTAAACCAGTGGCTTCTCGAATCCGGTGCCTCGTATCACATGACCGGAAATAATAGGGCATTGACGGAAGTGGTGAGAATATCACCGGTAGAAGTGACGATGTCGAACGGTGAACTCACCAAGGCAACACACGTGGGAAAAGTGTAAATCAGTGGAAGCTTGAAATTGACAAATGTTTTACTTGTTCCTGGATTAAAATGCAATCTAATTTCTTTGGGGCAATTAATTGATAACCGAAAATGTGATGTATTTTTTACTAATGATTTGTGTGTAATACAGGACCTACTTACGAGGATGCCGATTGGAGTGGGTGAATGGCGAGGTGGAGTTTATTATTTTCCGGGTCTGAACCAAACACGAGCAAATGCAGTGGGTTGCACGGACTCAGGCACTTTGTGGCACTCAAGGGTTGGACATCCGTCAATAAAAATTTTAGGTTCTCTTGATTGGTTAAATAAATCATTGTTGAATTTTGTAAAAAATAAGACGTGTGATGCCTGCATGCGAGGCAAACAAACGAGAGACAGTTTTATTACTAGCAGTGCTAGAGCTATTGAACCTTTTGAGTTGATTCACTGTGAGGTTTGGGGTCCGTATCGTGTTTTATCTACTTGTGGCGCACGTTATTTTTTGACTGTGGTAGATGATTTTTCTAGAGCCGTGTGGGTACATCTAATGAAAGACAAAAGTGAGGTGAAGAATATTCTCAAACAATTTCTTGCCATGGTTAATAGACAATCTAACAAAAATGTGAAAAAAGTGAGAAGTGACAATGGCAAGGAATTTATGAGTTTACAAGAATATTTTGTGAATAATGGAATAAATTTTCAGACATCTTGTGTTTACACCCCTCAACAAAACGGAAGAGTGGAATGAAAGCATAGGCATATTCTGGAAGTGGCCAGGACATTACGTTTTCATGCTAATTTGCCTATTGATTTTTTGGGGGAATGTGTGTTGACAGCGGGGTACTTGATTATCCGGTTGCCTACCCCGGTGCTTGACGATAAAAGTCCCTATGAGTTACTCTATAATAAAAAGCCTATGTACAATCAACTCCGGGTCTTTGGATGCTTGTGTTATGTGCATGCATCGAACACCGACGGTGACAAATTTTTGGCCCACGGAATCAAATGTGTGTTCTTGGGATATGCTTATTCTCAAAAGGGTTGGAAGGTGTATGATTTACAAAATAAAAGACATTTTGTTTCACGCGACGCCCGATTTATTGAGACCAAATTCCCATTTGCAATTGGAACACCGGCTGGGGAATACGCCGAAGGCGGTAGACCTGATTTGCATGCATGGGATACTCACATCCCTGATGATGCAGTTGTTGATGAAGGAAGCACATGTGATACCTCAGACACGTGTAGGACCGCTGATCGATCAGGTACTAGGGAGACTGAGATGACTACGACGCTAAAAGGCACACAAGAGCAAGCAGTGGGTGATGTGACCCACGTGAATACTCCAAGTCAGACCCGAAGAAGTGAACGTACGCGACGAGTTCCATCGTGGCATAAAGATTATGACGTGCAATTAAACACGGTTAAAATAAACTCTCACACCGTCGCTGCACCTGCTCCTACGTCATAAAGATTATGACGTGCAATTAAACACGGTTAAAATAAACTATCACCAAATCAGGTACTCCTTATTCACTATCTCATTATATAAAATGTGATCATTTTTTGGTTTCGCACCGAGCTTTTCTTGCAGCTATTTCCATGATGAAGGAACCAACCAGTTTTTCCGAAACAGTTCGTGATCCGCAATGGCGGGAAGTCATGAGCCGTGAAATCTAAGCGCTGGAGCGCACTGGCACGTGGACGATACAGGACTTGCCGCCGGGGAAGCGAGCCATTTATTGCAAATGGGTATATAAGGTGAAATACTAAAGCAAAAAAAAAAAAGAAAAAAAAGAAAAAAAAAGAAAAAAAAGGTGAAATACAAAAGTGATGGATCCGTTGACTTTTGCTCCGGTTGCTAAAAGGGTGACCGTGCGTACCATTTTGGCAGTGGCGACATCTTGTCATCGAGAGCTACACCAAATGGATGTAGATAACGCATTTCTTCATGGCGACCTTCACGAGGAGGTTTACATGCATCTACCACAAACTCCTAACATCGAGGGAAAATAGTACTACCTTCGTCCCATTTTATGTGTCTCATTTGACTTTGACACAATTATTAATAAAGTGGTTGAAAAGGTAAAAGTTGTGGTTGAGATTTGAGTTTAATAAAGTGAAACGTTGTGGATCACATCATTCTTTCCAAATAGGGAAATGTGACACTTATTTTGGGACAACCCAAAAAAGAAAGTGAGACATGTAAAATAGAACGGAGGGAGTATGACATATTTCTCATTCCCCTTTTTGGAAAGTTTTGTGTGGCTCACATTCATTTACATTTTTCTTACTCAACCAAAATCATACGTTTTCACTTTATTCTCACTTTCTTAATAAACGTGTCAATTCAAATCGGGAAATATTTTTTGGGACGGAGGTAGTAATTAAGATGCATAAAACATACATCTACCATATCAGATCAATTCAGAGTTTCAGACTAGATCAAACTAATTCAGAACAAATCAGACAAGAAAAAAGAATTTCTTTCTAATTAAAACATGATAATAAATTTAAAACTAATCATGCAATTACAAGTTGATTAGTTTTTAGGATTATTATTATTATTATTGTTATTATTATTATTATTATTATTATTAAAGATGCCACCGCTATAACACCAAATAATAATGTTACAAGGTAAAAAAAATACAAAAAAATCAATCAATACATCACCACCGTCAGTCTTATAAAATCTCCACCCTTTAATACATGCCCCGTTCCTTTTCCATTGCGATTTGCGGGTCTCCCTATTTGCCGTCTTCGCCTCTCTCCCTCTCCCTGCTTCTCCTTCTCTCTCGCTCTTCTGCTAAACGCATCCCAGTGTAGAGACAATAATACGACCGCATATATTTTCCGGGAGAAACAATCGGGGGTACGAAGCCTAGGGATGGATTCAGATCAAGGGAAGCTGTTCATTGGTGGCATATCTTGGGAGACGGATGAAGAGAAGCTGAAGGACCACTTTCAGAGCTTCGGAGAGGTTTTGCAGACTGTGGTGATGAGAGATAAGATTACTGGGAAACCCAGAGGCTTTGGATTCGTTGTATTCGCAGATCCGAACATTCTTGATGCCGTTCTCCAGGAAACCCATACCATCGATGGTCGTACGGTGAGAAGGGTTTCATGAATTTTTTTTGTTGATTTTGGTTTTCGATGCAAGGTTCTGTTTGAATTGAATTTTGTGTAGAAACAATCAGGCGTTGATGTTTGTTTATAGGGTTCATTATTTTTTTGACACTCTCGCTCGGGGTATTTGATGCTTTGGTTAGTCTGGTCGTGTTTTTTAGTCATTGGCGTGAAATTTTAGAATTCTGAATGCATCGAGTTCCAGGTGCAATTCAGTAATTTTCTTTGCTCTCTTTAAGGGGTTAAATCGGACTTGGGACAATTTTTATGAAAAAGTATAATCATTGGAGATTGGAGCACAATGATGCTCGTTATCCTTCAAGTTGGAACGTTGTTTTTGGGTGTTCAGATGTCTTCTGTGTATTATGTGTTCCAATATATGATTTGATAGTAAATAGGATAAGTTTCCTCTATTTGATGCCTATATGGCTATATTTAGTATATGGTCACTTTTTCAGAATAGTACAGTTTGTTACTTGATTGATTCACTCCACCCCTAAAGATTATTATGAGTAGTTCACTAAAAATGCTTGCCGCTTGGCTTTATTGGAGCATTACTTACTAGTGAAAGTTGTTACAAAATGAAACTATGTATTGGACAAAAAAATCGTGAAGGGTACTCTTATTTTGGGACAGAGTGAGTACAATTTGTTTTGTTTAAACTAAAGTAGTACTGGGGTAATGATGATGATGAAACTAAAGTAGTACTACATATAAGTTTATCGTGAAAACATGTATTTACCACTGGTGTTATACATCTGTTTCTTCAGTCATAATAATTACAACCTGTTGCTATCATATATATAGGTTGAGGCCAAAAGGGCCATATCAAAAGAGGAACAGGGCTCCAGAACTGGAAATCCCAATGGTGGCAGAAGTTATGGTGGTGGTGGCAGCAGCAGCAACAAGACTAAGAAAATATTTGTTGGAGGATTGCCCCCTGCTCTGACCGAGGATGGCTTTCGTGGTTATTTTGAAGCCTATGGCAATGTAACTGATGTTGTCATAATGTATGATCAGCAGACCAACCGACCACGCGGATTTGGTTTTATTTCATTCGATTCGGAGGATGCAGTGGACCAGGTTTTACACAAGACCTTTCATGATTTGAATGGTAAGCAAGTAGAAGTAAAACGTGCACTTCCTAAAGATTTTAGCTCTGGCTCTGGCTCTGGATCTGGCTCTGGCTCCGGATCTGGTTCTGGTGGTGCCCGCTCAATGGGAGGCAATGGTGGTGGTTATCAGGGCTATGGAGGAGGTGGTGGTAACAATCCAAATTCGTATGACAGTCATATGGATTCAAAGTACGCGCAGCAACAAAACACTGTATCAGGGTATTCACCCTATGCTTCATCTGGATATCCCTCTGCTGGTTACGGGTATGGACCGTCCAACAGTGCGATGGGCGGATATGTTGGTTATGGAAGTTATGGTGGCGGAGCCACTCCTGGCTATGGTGGACCTGCAGCTTCTGTGTATGGAAATCAAAATGTTCCTGGCGGCGGCTATGGAAGTGGTTCAACAGATGGACAAAGAAGCTCATGGAACCCTCAGGGTCCTGCTTATGGTGGAAATATGGGCTATGGAGGTGTGGGAGGTGGAGGAAATACAGGCCATTCTCCAGCTGAAGCAGCAGGTTATGGGAATCAGGGTTATGGTTATGGTGGGTATGATGGATCTTATGGAAATCAAGCTTCTTATGGGGCGGTGGGCCGTACTGCTGGCGGTCCACAAAGTAGCAATTCCTCTGCTGGCGGTGGTGGAGAGATGCAATCTGGTGGGTACGGGGTATATGGTGATGCCAGTGGGAATTATGCGTCACAACCTTCTGGAAATTATGGAACAAATGGAAACCAAGCTGGTTATGGAGGTGGTTATGGGGGTGGCCCAGCTCGGCAAACCCAACAACAGTGATGAGAAGTTATTTTGCTTTCTGTGGAATTCAGTCTTTTCATAACGGGTCTTGTGTTTCATGAGCTGAGAGAGGGGTGACTGTTTCAATACATCATACCTGCTTAATTGGACTGGTTGGATTGCTTGAACCCAGTAGTTTGTTACTATTATTCTACAATAAGTAGAGCGTTATACAGTAGACCTAGCTTATTATTATGATTTGCTAAGTGTAGCATTTATTGTGGTGTGCTTGTTATCTTTTCCCTAGCTAATCTGGTGCATGGCTTCCCTCTGTCTCCACTGATGTAGTTTGTGTGCTTGATATATTCCTTCTTGATTTCTGCAGCTCCCTTTTCGTATTGGAGTTAGTATTACTCTACATTATTATATTTTTTAAATTTCTTAACTGAACATGTTGGGACTAGCCCTCTCTTGATTACTTGTGCTGGTAACATATTAGAAATTTTCAAAAGCAGGGTTTTTCTTCAATGATACGAGATCCGAGGTGCATAGTTTTTGCTGATAGAGCTGTAGAAGTGCAGCTATAGCCAACTTTGGATTCCTAGTGGGTAGCCAATAGTCGTAGCAGTAGTTGCTTTTTGAGAATGACATAATCATTTCCCCACTGTATTTGGCCTTGTGTTGTACAGGGGAAGAAGCTCTCAAGTAAGGAGGGTGGTGAGAAGGTTAGGTGGAGTTTGGAATGCAATCAATATCTTGAAACTGGAACTGGTGATTTGGGCCAAGCTGCTGTTGTTGAGCTCATTCTACTCACAGCCAACAATGGTATGTTTTGGGCACATCAGCACATGCGGTTGTCTCGTTAATTCAATTAGGTACCTTAGAATTTTAACTAATATAATTCAATACCTCATAGAGAGGATTACTGGAAATGGTTGATGATGTACCCATTCATGGTTGATGGTACCAAAAAAATTTGCTTCAACTCAGCAGTTCATTGCAGTTGAATGAATAGTGTACTTAGCTGGATTAGAGAAAGATTTTTATGAATTTTCTTGTAGGGTCAATACTATAGAAGTTCTGTTTCTAAAACTAGAGCATGACACAATTCCAGGGGACAGAGGGAGTGGTTATTTTCTGCATCATTCAAAACTACAACAGTTTTAATGAATTTCCTGTAGGGTTACATTGTTAAAGTTTTGTTTTCTAAACCTAAACTTAACTGGCTGGCTCATGTCTGGGTTTGGTCAGCCACCCAGCCTACATAGCTTGCTTGTCTTTAACTCGGTTGAAGTTGTTTATACTAAACTTAATATACCAATGGTTTGTCTGTCTTAGTTGGTGGTTGATGCTTTTTTCACAAATTTAAGCATAAACTGTAAGAAGCTTATCTGGTTTGACTATTTGTCTGACTTCACTTTACTAAATTTGTTACAGAGTATTTCCTCAAATCAAAGATCCACTGTTTATCTGGTTGTAGCTAATTTTTTCTAATGACAGGTTTCTGAAGTGAATCAATCCAATCTTTTAAATTAGACCAGTTGCGAATATTTGCTCGCGCTGTGTACATCCAAACCTCCAGAAATTGAAAACAACACAGCTTATCAAGTGTGCCTCCCTCCCTTCCTCAGTCCTCTCCCACTCCTTTAATAGTAACCAAATAATAGCCAACATCCTTTAATGCAGCATTTTTTGAATTGCAGAATTAAGACTTGTGCGAAATGAAAATTGCAATGTCACCAATGTTTATATTTTTGTCATTGAAAAGAGTGCACTATGCTGCGCAAAACACGGGCATGTGTTAGTTGTTACACCCAAGGAGGCAAGTGCCAACCAAAAGGTACTCTCTGTGTGCTTCTATAGCTGAGTGTTGCGATACTAGACTATACGAGACTCAAAGAGGGCAGGGGTTTGCGGTTGTCGGGTGTGAGCACAATTGGGTAGATTTTGCGCATTTGCGGCTAGACAATCGGAATAAATTATAAAAGATAGGAATTCGATAATCCATTTCCAAGAAAGTTGCTTAGTGGCTATGTTTGGCAATCGGTTGATCAGCCAATTTTTGGCTGTTTTGACCAAGATTAGCTTCTTTGACTACTCAACCCGCTAATATTATGGTTTGGTAATTGGATGTTTCTTTTGGCTGTTCGGACTCAAAATGCTGAAAACGGAAACGCTGCAGTGGGCAGTGTTTGGATTCGGCTGGTGCACGGTGCACTAAAACTCCTTTATATTTCCGTAGCTCTTTTTCTGCAGTTATTCATCAAAGCCTTGACTGTCATGAAAAAAAATCTGGAAAGAAACGAAGAATAGTCTGCCATAGCAATTCAACATAAGGGCTGATGCACTCCTCTTGCCGTTGGAAATAAAAAGAAGAAAACAACATAGCGGGAGAATCAAGAGGAAAAGAACGCTAGAGCAAACACAAGTCTAGGAGCAGGAGACAGAAAACAATAAGGGGGGAAAGAAAATAAAAAGATATAAAAGAAAAGAAAATAAAAGCTACTCCGATTTATTAAAATAATAACACCAAATAATAAATATATTCTCATGTCCTTGGATGTCTTTTGCACTCGCCAGCCTCCACAAACATCTAATTTTACCAAACACCGATTTACAATAAGTTGACATGATAAGCCAATTAAAACATCAAATACAAACAGCTATTGACGAACGGTTGAGTGGTTGACAGAACCATCTAACTAGTGATGGACCCGGGCTGGTCCGGTTCCGGGCCAGGCCCGGGCGGTTTTTTTTTGCAAATCCTTGGGCCCGGAACCGGCCCGGGTTGATACTGGGTCCGGGCCGAGCCCGGTTCAATGTCTATTTTTTTTTTTTGCTTTCTTGTTATCCCCCGACCCCCCCCTCACCCCCACCCCCAAACCTCCCCAAAACACCCAGTCCTACCCTAGGAAAAGAAAAAAAATGAAAAAACAAAAAAAAAAAAAAAAAAAAATTGACCCGGGCCCGGCCCGAACCGCCCGGGCCGGTTCGCCCAAACCTGGGCCCGAGCCCGGCCCGCCTGACCCGCCCAAACGGGCTAAAAGCCTGGAACCGGCCAACCGGTCCCGGTCTGGTCCGGGCCCGCACAGTAGCGGGCCGGGCCGGTTTCGGGCTGGGCCGGGCCGGTTTAGTCCATCCCTACATCTAACAGCTAACAACTATTTGTCAAACATTTGGTGTCGATAGTATAATCCCATGCAACTAATTAACTGCAGGTTAATCAAAATTACGACGTAAGATGAGTGCAAAGATGTCGTTAAATTACAAGTAAATAATCTATCCATTTGGGTATTTATCCGAGTTATTACACATTTATGATAATACATACTCCGTATTACGTATAAACTATATCACTTTGTACCATCTAACACACCTAAATTACATAACTTATTGTTTCGGGTTGTGTTACTATCAAGTACCAACTTAACACAAGTACAGAACCTCCTTTTTGTGATATTATTAAAATATCTCTGGCATGTAGTTTTAATTCTAAGAAATTGGATAAACCCCTTTTTAAGTAATTCCTTTGTTATAGTTACGGTATTGTTAGTTTTTCATTTTACGTAACTATTAAGATGGTTTATCACAGCATCGTAGAGTGAAAACATATCAACAAGTAAATAAGGATGTTTAATACGGAGTAATTTATATATCAAAATTAAAAGCCACGCAGAAAAGCATTCCAATTTCTATTAATAATTGCTATTTATTATGAGGTCACGGTGTTTTCCAGCCTTCTCATGCCAAGCCCCCGCCCTTTGGCGCCATTAGGAAGTGTTGGGATTATTCCACACTTTAAAAGGTCCAAATATTTGAACTTGAATGGAATGCATCATAGGTTAGGACTCAAATACTTCACTAGATTACATCATTACAAATCAGTACAGAAGAATCATACTACATCTAATGAGTTTTCAGGTTGGCATCAATTATGAAAGAACTAAGAAGTTTACAGGTAAATAAAAAGTAATTCTTTTATCTGCTTTGCCATCACTTCATGTGCAAGGTCACACTTCCAACTCTTTGGACAATGAATGTATGTTCAGTAGGCTGAAGCCAACCTCTTGTAAGGATCACCAAACGCAGCAATATTCCCAGGTCGCGAGAATACCATCTACATAATGTTTGCATTTAGGTTGACAGCAGATGTTGGTTAACTTTGTATGAAAAAAGAAACACAGATAAATTCACACATACCTGATAGTTTCCAAGTGTGCAGGTCTGGAATCCTGCTGCACAATAATCGAAGTAATATTCCCATGTCCGGATGAACTTCTGGTCAAATCCCAGATCAAGAATTTGCCTGCATGGCACAGTTTATATTAAAACATCAAAGTCCTGTTACTCAAAGACCAATATAAAATCTTGATCATCTTACCCCTGTCTTCCAAGGAAGTTCTCTCTCCAACATCGGAGCGTCTTATAGTAATGAATTCCAATGTCTTCCAAATGCTCCACGCTGTTTCAGAGAATTCATTACAAAATGTAACTATAGAGTATGTTCAAACAAAAACTTCTTTGTCTTGTTTATTTCTTTTTTGCTTTTATTTTTACCAGAGCCTTGAGGAAGCAGCCATGGCTGATGTGACTCGGCTTAGAGAGGGTAGGCATCCTCCCGGGAATATATATTCCTTGATGAAGTCTGAGCTCTGCCTATATTCATCATACCTCTCATCTGGTATTGATATAAACTACACAATAAACCCACAATTTACTTCTTCGGTATATAACAGAAATTCACAACACGATGTTACGGCACTGGTTTGAGTGGTTTCATAGAACAATTACAAATGTATTAAAATGTGAATCAACAGCCTGTTTCATAGAACAAATGTATTAAAATGCAAACCAACAGCCTTTTGGCACCCCTTTTTCATGTTATCTTGCTGACCAGTTTTTTTTTTTGCCATACATCATCGTTTTCTTAACTCTATAAGATGTAGGAGTCTCGATTGCGTTGGTTTGGTCATGTGCGTAAGAGACCGAGTGATGCACCTGTTAAACAACTTGAGAGGTTGGGAGAAGAGGTGGGGAGGAAAGGGAGAGGAAGATCCAAACAGACTTATATTAGAGGAGTTAGAACCGATATGCTTCTTCTAGAGTTGAGTGAGAGTATGACTTTGGAGAAAGCAAAGTGGATGACACATATTCGTGTCGATGAGTGAATTCTTTTCTCTCTTTACTCCCTCCTTTCTTCTATCTTATATCTTATTTGTATTTCTAGGTTCTTATGTTATTTTTACACTATATTTTTTATGCTCTTTTATTTTTTTATCTTTTATCTTTTTTTGTTCTTATGTTACTTTTATCTTATATTTGTCTTTATTTTAGCCATTTTATTTTACTTTATCTTTTTGTTTTTCTTATCTTTCTTATCTTTTTAGCTTTGATATCATGGATCGATTCATGTAAGTCGACCCCAAAATCTTTTCGGGATAAGGCTTGGATGTTGTTAATTTGTTATCGTTTTCTTGACTCCGCGCGCTAAATTGGGTTAATAATGGCAAAAGTTAAGGTCAGAATTAATTTTTGATTGAAATGGCTGAAGTTAGTGACTACTTGGTATTACTTTTAAACTTCTTTCACATATATTATTAATATTTTAATATATTTTCAGTACTTTCGACCTCATCAATCATTTCAGTCCCATTTAACCTTACCAAACTGACTCACAAGGTCTTGGACTAATCCTTAGGACAGTCTTTAGGTTCAATTAAGCTGTTTAATTTGATTAAGTCTTCTAAGAAAAACAATATTTCAAGGTTGAGTTGAAGCAAAGATATTTCTTTTTTCCCCTTTATGTGACTTAAGTACCTGCAGAACAAGAATACCATCTCTTGCCAAAGCAGATTCACAGTGACTAAAAAAGTCATTCATAAACTCGTGACCAACTGCTTCCAACATCTCACTGAAAATGATCATTTATCAGGCCATCAGATGAGCACATGGCATTCAAACAAGAGAAACAACAATTGCAAGGGAAGAACGTACCAAGATATGATTCTGTCATATTTTTTATATCCAGGCAATTGTCTATAATCACAAAGAAGAAACCTTATGCTA